TCTCCTGGGTTCCTTGATATAATCTATAAAATAGATTTTTTTAAAAAGTGTAACAAACTATATGTTTAATTATAGCTCTTTAAAATGGGGTGATTGATTTTGTGCAACTCAATATCTTATCCCCATTTGAGAGATGGATAAGTGGAGTAAGTGGCCTAAGGTCTCATGAGCTGGAATTCAAACCCAGCCTCTGGCTGACCTTGACGCACATCAGTTAGCCTTAGAATCTGCCTCCACCCCCCACCTTTCTTTTCTCTGCCTGGAAACCCATCCTTTCCCCACACTGTACCATTTCTGTGAAAACACACTTCAGGCCTCAATTCAAATATTTCTTCCAAGGCCTGGAGCCCCATCCCATCCTTTGAGCCTGGGTTCAGACAGTCCTTAACTCTTCAGGCTGAATCAGGAGTGCCCTTTAGGCCCTGTGCCTCCCCCATCCCAAGTGACCACTCCCTTGTGCTTCCTCCATTCCCACTGTGACCCCTTTGCTTGTACCTCCCCCATCCAGGGCCTGACTCACTGTAAGCTGTCCCTCACTATCTGGTGGTTTGTTCCACAGGACTGTGGAGAGAGGAGGGTCCTGGCTGTCCCAGTCTCTGCTGCGTCCCAGCATAGGGACAGGCACAGAAAATGCAGTCTCAGGTACACACCCATGCCAGTAACTAGGAACTGGGTGGGCTAGAAAGGACCTAAAAGTAGATCAGAAATGGTTGGAGCTATGGGCCAGATGGGGAAGGGAGGACTGCAACACCTGGCCATCTGGCCCCGCTAATCACAGGAACCTTTCTTCCTGGGTCCGGGGTAGCTTTCCCAGAGCCTACAGGTGCAGGAGGGATGGGGGACAGCGCTGGGCACCGCACAGACCTGTGCTCCTGATCTTGCCCCTCACGCCCTAGGCAGAGACCCTCGCTCTTCACAGCGCAGCTCTGCAGAGGCCGCAGATCTGGGGATAACCTCCCGTGCCCCCTCCAGGCTTAGGCCCTGAGAATAGAACCAAGAAACCCGACTTAAGGCTCCAACTGACAAGGGGGGCCTCATCGCCCCGCAAACGCCTCCCGCTGCACCCTCGTATTGTCTTTGGAGCGACGTTCTCCCGGCCAGGTCCCGCACCGTTTCTGGGCTCTTTGGAAAACCCCTCCCCTCGTGTCCCCTTCTCCTCGGAGCCGCCGGGGACTGCGCGGGCTGCTTGGACTCGGTCCCGGGGACCCAGCTACGCGAGATGCCTGTGTTTCTGGCCTCTCCTGCGCCCTCTGACCCGCCGCTTCCACCGCCTCCAGCGTGGCCACCCCCATCCCAGCTGCTGCGATTGGGAGACGACATCCCACCCGCGACACGCACACCTAGCCTTGCGCTCCCGCGGGGCCGCGTGATTCCTGGGGCGCTCGCGGAGGCCACGGGACAGCGCCCCCTCGCGGCGGCCCCGGCGCCCGACTCGTGGCTCCGAGCTGGAGTCCCACCAGAGGCCGCCAAGGAGGAAAACCGTGGGCCGCCCGGCCCGGGGACCAGGATGGGCACCGCAGCCATGAAGGACACTATCCTTCAGGCCCTAGCTCAGCCGTCCCCTCCTCGGGGAAGTCCTCCCTAAATCCCCCCATTTGACTCCTTTGGGCTCTCATGTTCCAACATGCCTGCCCTGGCCTCCCCACAGCATCCCTGACCTCGCCATCCCTCCCCCCTGCCTCTAGCCTGTCACTGTCACCAAGAGTTGGGCCTTCACCCTGCCATAGGAAGCCCCATGCGTACAGTCACTGTGTCCCCAGCATCTCCCAGCAGCAGTCACGGAGAGGCAGCGCACACCCTGGGGAGTATGACCCCCTCATCGCATATTTTATTTTGTGTGTTGAACAGCTTTATTAAGGTATGATCTACTTGTAAAATGCTCTCATTTTTGAACGACTCTGGGTGATTTCACAGTTGAGAAACCATCACTATGATTCATTTTAGAACATTAACGTCGCTCTAAAAAGATCTCTTCTGCCCATGCGCAGTCACTCTCCCTCCCGCCCCCAGCCCCAGGCAACCGCTGATCCACTTTCTCTCACTTACTGTTCTTTTCTTCTTACAAGCCTTTTCCAAATTCTTATTTTTCCTCAGCTGTTGAGTGCTGAGGATACACAATGACACACAGACCTTGCTCCTCAGGGCACTCAAAGTCTGATTGAGGCCACAGCTAATGGGGAAATATGTCCAATAACTCATTTATTCATTTATTCATTCATTCAAAAAGATTTACGGGGCTAGGCACCGGTGGTGGCCCAGCCTGTAATCCCAGCTACTCCACAGGCTGAGGCAGGAGGATTGCAGATTTAAAATCAGACTCCTCAACGTAGCGAGACCCTAAGCAACTTATCTCAAAATAAAAAAT